AGGAAGTGGCCCCGAAGCTTGCCACGACGTAAGGGGACCGTGGTCATTTACAGCCAACGTCAGTTGACCGTGGACAATTAGACCCAAGCTGAAACATAACATGTAAAAAAGATTGTTTAAAAAAAATGTTATGATAGAATATAGTATTGTCATCAGTACGACATAAGTATATCAAGTTTGCAGTCGATACCACATTGGGAAGTGGATTGAAATTGAATTACAAGATTTGAGGATACAACGACAACAACAGAGTGAGTTAATAGAAAGCGTGTAAAAAGGTACAAAGAGCTCAACAACAAAAAGTAAAATCCGTCACAACCGTGACGACGGATGAATATGTGCGCGAGGAAAATCCTCAGTTAACGCTTTTCGCGCAAAGCGGAAGGCGCGCCGCTATAACGCGGAACGCGAGCGGCGTTGTAACGTGGAACGAGAACCCCCCCCCCCCCCCCGTTATAACGCAGTTTCTGCGCGGAGCTGAGTGGTACGTCGACGCGGTAACGCGGTGGTGGTGTCGGCGTACCCTCAGTAACCTGTCCCCGCTGTCTCACCGCATGGCACGCGTAGTAGTCACAGTGGTGTCGTACCTCGCCACACTTTATCGCTACTACGTTACTTATGGGGGGGGGGGGGGGATGTCTCCGCTTAGCGCGTTTTTTCGCACGTTGGCCGTGACACTTTTCAGGAACGAATCCACCAGCAGCAGCACCACCATCAGCACCACCACCAGCACCACCAACACCGCCAGAACCACCGCCAGCACCAGCAGCACCACCACCGGCACCAACAACAACCACCGTTCGCTACTAAGTGGCGGTGACGTCACCACGGCGCCTGTGCCAAGCTATGTGCACGTTAAGGCCACGTGAAGTGTCGAACGCCCGCTGGCACGAGGTCACTGGACAGACCCAGCAAGTGCCATGGGTTGACTGCCCACCACCAGCACCACCACCACCGGTGCGTAATAAAACGGGGGGCTCACCGTGCTGTACTCTCCATATACAAGCAGTCCATTTGCAGTCCGACCCGCTCAGTTTGATTGAACGAAGGGCAGAAGTACGCAGTTGCCCGACCGCACAAAAACACCGTCGCTCGCACAGACAGGCGGTCGCGACAACGACGGCGTTAGAACTCAATCGCGGTATCGTCATCATTGTCCCTTTCCTTTCTCGACGACGCTATCAGGTTCTCGCACCCCCCCCCCCCATCTCAAGTCTAAATCTTAAGTCTATCCCAGTTATCGCTGTGATTGGACCGAATCGGTCACATGGCGCTCAATTCATTCGTAACTTCCCGGCCATCACCATGATTGGACGGAATTGATCACATGGGGCTCAATTCATTCGTAACTTCCCGGCCATCACCATGATTGGATGGAATTGATCACATGGGGCTCAATTTATTCGTAACTTTCTGGTTATCGCTACGATTGGACAGAATCGAATTCGCCGCTTCCTAAACCAAATGCCTTTTCCTCTTTGGTTCTTTCGGTAAAGTCACGTAGGCATAAAATAAAATGGCAGTTCCACTGCTGGATTATATCTTTTCCGCCTGTGGACGACCGCTTGTTTTGCGATCGAAACGTCGTGATTTATTTTATTTTTCTACCTACCACGTGACTTTACCGAAAGAACCAAAGAGCATGGATTCCTGCAGTCACGAAAGCTTCAAATCAAGATCGAGTGCCTTTTGTTCTAAAGAATCTGAATGACGCACATCGATGTTGTTGGCGAGCGGATGATGCGTTGTCGTTTGTTTGGGGGGGGGAGGACGTTGACATTTTTAACCATCGTGTTGATAAAACTATGAAAAAAAACGATCAAAATGAACGGCACTTACTCGAATAAAACGGTGACCTAGAAACCCAGTGATTGCGAGGTTTCGTCTTGAGTGTCGCGTGGCGAACTTTGCGAGCGTGTGTGTTAACGTGTGTGCGGTAGTCGAGCGGTTAGCGCGCTCACGGCCAACATCAGTGACGATTATCTGAACCGGTCCTGGGCCTCCCCTAGGTCGAATCAGCTTGAAATGAGTACCTGGTGCGATGTGTAGTAAACATCGCCACTGGGGAGACAAAGGCGGCCGGGCGTGGTGTTGGCCACCCACCCCCTCGTGTGCCGTGCCAGCCTTTATAGGTGCTCGCTAACAGCACTTGCCTCTACAGTCTGTTAAGGCTACACGGGGGAATCTGTCTTTTTTTGTGGTTAGCGCGCTGTGCTATGAACCTGGTGTCCCGAGTTCAATTCCCGCTCACGGCCACCAACACCGGTGACGATTATCTGAACCGGCCATTGGCCTCCCCTAGGTCGACTCGGTCTCAAATCAGCACCCGGTGCGGTGTGTAGTAAACATCGCCACTAGGGAGACAAAGGCGGCCGGGCGTGGTGCTGGCCACCGACCGCTTCGTGAGCTGTGCCGGCCTTCCTAGGTGCCCGCTAACAGCACTTGCCCCTACAGCCTGTTAAGGCTACAAGGGGGGTCTCTTTGTCTTTGTCGATATGAGAGATCCTAAACTCTGCCTTCCCTGGCGTGGCCAGGAGAGGGGGGTAAACGATCTTTACATCCAACTCCGGTAGGGACCCCATACGGGGGATCTTTGTCGGTATGAGAGATCCTAAACTCTGCCTGGAGGGGGGTATAGGATCTTTACGTCCAACTTCGGTAGGGGCCCCATACGGGGGATCTTTGTCGGTATGAGAGATCCTAAACTCTGCCTGGAGGGGGGTATAGGATCTTTACATCCAACTTCGGTAGGGGCCCCATACGGGGGATCTTTGTCGGTATGAGAGATCCTAAACTCTGCCTGGAGGGGGGTATAGGATCTTTACATCCAACTCCGGTAGGGACCCACAGCTCATGGAGAGCCAACCTTTTGCCCCTTGCCAATGAACATCCGTGCAGTTAGCCAGCAACCCTGACTCTGAACCAAATGTTCAAGCTGTCCTGACTGCTGGCGAGACACTTGACGTCAACACAGGTTTCAGAACCGCACCGTATTTATTGAACAAACGGCAGCAAGTCGCAATCACAGGGGATGTGACAGCGGTCACGGCAGGTGATCGGAGAATAACGGAAATCATCGGACATTCGACACAAACGCAGGGTTACAGGCTGTTCTCCTGTGTAATGCCGCGTGTTGATTGAGATAGAACGCGATCGAGCGAACGGAGCTACGTCGCGCGAGTAGGAATAAGCGGTTTTAACGGCTGCCTCGGCGTAGCATAATCATCACACGAGACATTGGGATGCTGCTGGATGATTCTAGACCAGTGATTCTTAACCTGGGTTGCTTCACGCACCCCAACTGCCCTTTCTGGGGGGTAGCGAGACATGGCAAGATTTTTTTTCGACGCAACGGGCACGCAAGTACAACTTACAATGGGACGTTTCTTGCCAGTATCGAAATAACAAATGTATATTTGACCAGAGCATGTTTTTGTTTGCATGTTCACCACAAGTATGTGCGGTTAATGCAGACAGGATTCCTTGCAAAAGATTTTCTGTTTGGTGTGAACATCTTAACACAACTGTTTAATTGCCAGAAGGGGTGAAACCAATTCTTATAATTACAACTTACTTTGTTTCATTAAACGCGATGTGTTTATTAACATTGAACATTTTTTGAACGATTGAGAACCCAAATGGTGCAAAGGCTGCGTTGGCTAGGTCATGTAGCCCACATGCCCAGCCACCGCATGCCTAAACAGCTTTTGTTCATCCGGATAGAGGGGGCTAAACGGGCGTGGCACAGGCTAGAGAAGAGATGGAGTGATGTGGTACAGGAGGACGTGGAGCTGAGTGGACTTGCCGATGATTGGTACCAGCTGTGTCAAGATCGGCCTCTGTGGAGGAGGCTCGTGAAGGACGCTACTGGGCAGTTGGAGGCAGTCGCCCTCCAACAACAACGGAAAACAGAGGAGCGATGCTCACAACAACGAGCGGAACACCCGGCGGCTAAAACACAGCAGGTTGGCACAGTAGCACCTGGGTCTGCCCCGTGACCTCCTATCAGCGGACGTCCGAGAGTTCACGTGGCCCAAACGTGCACCTAGCCCGGCACAAGCGCCGAGGTGACGTCACCGCCACTTAGTGGCGAATGGCGGTTGTTGTTGTTGTTGTTTGGGTGTGTGGTTGGGTAGGTGGGTAGGTGTGTGGGTGTGTATGTGTGGGTGTGTGTGGGTGTGTGTGTGGGTGTGTGTGTGTGTGTGGGTGTGTGTGTAGGTGTGTGTGTGTGGGTGTGTGTTGGTGTGTGGGTGTGTGTGTGGGTGTGTGTGTGTGGGTGTGTGTGTGTGTGGGTGTGTGTGTGTGGTTGTGTGTGTGTGGGTGTGTGTGGGTGTGTGTGTGTGTGTGTGGGTGTGTGGGTGTGTGTGTGTGTGGGTCCCGGTGAGTATGGGTGAAATGTAACAATCGTTTAATAAAATCGCAATGCCACCGCTGCGACATCCCAAACGGTTGCCCGCTCATCACTCGCCCTCGTACAGACAAAGAGACAGGGAGAGACAGGGAGAGACAGAGAGAGACAGAGAGAGACAGACAGAGACAGACAGGGACAGAGAGAGGACTACTCAAATGAGCCAGGAGGAGCCACCGACGAGGAGTGGGGAGGAGGCAGCGGCCACGCGGTGGCGGGGAGGAGACGGCGCTACCGACGACTGCCCAAGCTCTGCGGTCCTCTACATGTCAAGATGTTCTCAGCCAATGAACGACGAGTCTTCATCCAGCAGGCGGGAGGAGGAACCCCAGGCGCAGCTGGGACAGATGGAGATGAGCCCACGTGCTTCTGTGCTGCCCTCTCCTGGCAAGCCACGGTACGGCTCCTTCTCGACACCCCATCACCGTTCTTCTCCACCTCAATAGCGCTCCCTCCACCTCCTTATGCCCAACAACCACATCCTCCACCACCTCCTCCACCATCTCCTCCACTTCCTCCTCACAATCCTCCTCCTACTCCACTTCCTCCTCGTCCTCCACCTTCCTCTCCACCCACCACCACCTCCTCCTCTTCATTCCCTTCCCAGTCGCCCCTCTCCCTCCTCCACTTCCTCCTCTTCCACCTCCACCTCCTCCTCCTCCCACAGCTCCTCCTCCTCGTCATCGGCGTCGTCGTCCATGTCTGGGCACGCGTAGGAGAGCAGCGCCTCCACCTGCAGGTGCACGATGGCGGCCTCCGGGTGGAGTCGGGGCGGCCCCCAGTGGGCCACGTTCATGGCCCAGGCGTCCACCCAGCCCAGCGGCAGGCCGGACAGCAGCCGCCGCAAGGCGCTGTTCTGCTGCCGCGCCAGCCAGTCGCTGCCGTACGGCGCCAGCTGCACGGACTGCGCCTACGGGGGGGCGGGGGGGGCGTGGGAGGAGTTTAGACGACACACCTGGGTGTTGGCAGTTCCCGCACGCACGCGAGAGTACACACACACACACCCGCGCGTACACGCACACACGTGTACACACACACGTGTACACACGCGTGACACGTGTACACACACGCGACACGTGTACACACGCGCGTGTACACACACACACGTGTACACACACACGTGTACACACACGCGTGTACACACACACGTGTACACACACGCGACACGTGTACACACACACGTGTACACACACACGTGTACACACACGCGACACGTGTACACACGCGCGTGTACACACATACAAAGATCCCGTATAGCCTTAATAGACTGTAGGGGCAAGTGCTGTTTGCGAGCACCTATGAAAGCCAGAACGGTACACGAGGGGGTGGGTGGCCAGCGCCACGTCCGACCGCCTTTGTCTCCCCAGTGGCGATGTTTGCTACACACCGCACCAGGTACTCATTTGAGGCTGAGTCGACCTAGAGGAGGCCCAGGACCGGTTTAGATAATCATCACTGGTGTTGGTCGTGAGTGGAAATCGAACCCGTGTCGCTGGGTTCATAGCGCGCTCCCCACACGTGTACACACACACGTGTACACACACACGTGTACACACACTCTCACTCTCACACACACGTACACACGTGTACACACACTCTCTCACTCTCACACACGTACACACGTGTACACACACACGTGTACACACACGTACACACACACGTACACAACAACAACAACAACAACCGCCATTCGCCACTAAGTGGCGGTGACGTCACCACGACGCTTGTGCCAGGCTATGTGCACCCTGAGGCCACGTGAAGTGTCGAACGCCCGCTGGCAGGAGGTCACGGGGCAGACCCAGGTGCCACGGGTCGACTGACTGAGATGACTGGCTGATGCACCACCTGTGCCCCCTACTGTGCCAACCTGCTGTGCTTTAGCCACCCGGCGCTCCGCTCGTTGTTGTGAGCGTCGCTCCTCCGCCCTCCGTTGTTGTTGGAAGGCGACTGCCCCCAACTGCCCAGTAGCATCCTTCACGAGCCTCCTCCACAGAGGCCGATCTTGACACCGCTAGTACCAGTCATCGGCAAGTCCACTCAGCTCCACGTCCTCCTGTACCACATCACTCCATCTCTTCTCTAGCCCGTGCCGCGCCCACTTAGCCCCCTCAATCCGGCCAAACAAAAGCTGTTTCGGCATGCGGTGGCTGGGCATGCGGGCTACATGACCCAGCCATCGCAGCCTTGCCTGCCGGAGGAGCTCACCGATGGGACCCTGCCCAGATCTTTCAAGGATTTGTGAGCTCCTCACACAATCCAGTCTGGTTAAACCCAGGATGGATCGTAGGCAGGCCAGCCTAAATGTTTCTAACCGGCGAAGATGTTCCATTAGGGGGGTCCACGTTTCGCAAGCGTAGAGAAGGGAGGGAATGACCGTGGCCGAGAAGACCTGAAGCTTAGTGCGGAGCGACAGACCAGGTAGCTTCCACACAGCGTTACGCAACCGATGAAAAGATATTGCCGCTCGACTGATTTGGAGTGAGACCTCTGCTGTTAAACTGGAGCCAGTCATAAGCACACTGCCCAGGTATGGGAAACTCTCCACTCTCTCCACCACTGCACCATCACCGATTGGGAGTTGTGGGGGTGGAGTGTCCGATGGTACAAAATACCCAGGCAGGTGCTTAGTTTTGGTGGGGCTGATGGTAAGGCCCCACCTCTTAGTGGCACGCTCCAGTCTCAGCAGCAGCGTCTCCAACTCCTCCTCTGACTGAGCAGCTATTACCAAATCATCAGCATACATAACGTGGTTGAGCAATAGGGAGCCATCCCTTGACTGCACCCGGGCATCGATTAGCCTCCCATTATATCTGTACCATATGGAGATTCCCCCGGTACAGCTATTGAAGGCTTCACGAACTACGTGGTCAAAATAGATGTTAAATAATGTGGGAGCCAGAGGACATCCCTGTCGCACCCCAAGGTGTACAGGGAATGGCTCTGACTCCCGGCCACGTAGTTTTACCCGGGCCCGCTCACCATCATGAAGGTCCTTAATGATCGTGAGCAGAGGGTCAGGTACTCCAAAAGCACGAAGAACGACCCAGAGCCCAGGCCTACTGATGGTATCATAGGCCTTGACCAGGTCAATAAAGCAGAGATGTAGGTCTTGTTGGAATTCCCTACACCTCTGCTGTAGCAGACGGACAGAAAATATGGCATCTGTGCAGGACCGCCCTTTCCTGAAACCGCATTGGGGCTCCGCAAGCCTCTCCTCAGCGTGCCTGGCAAGGCGATGCTGAATAATCCTTACCAGGACCTTTCCCGGCACACTGAGGAGTGAGATGCCCCTGTAGTTGTTACAGTCTGTGCGGTCCCCCTTCTTAAAAAGGGGAATGGCTCTGACTTCTTAAAAAGGGGGACCACCAGGGCATCGTGTACACACACGTACACACACACACACACGTGTACACACACACACACACGTGTGCACACACCTGCGTGTTGGCGGTGCGCACCACCACGGTGGTGGCCGGCTCACGCGCCAGCAGGGAGCCCAGCGCCCGCCTCAGCGCCCGCGCCCTGCGCACGAACACCCCCAGCGGGAAGCTGGTGAAGTGGGCGCCCAGCGACAGCGCCACCACGCAGCCGCGGCCGCCCTCCAGGCGCGCCAACCGCGGCGCCTCCCATCGCAGCGTGTCCGCGGGCACCCCGGTGAAGCGGATGGGCGGGCCGTGGCAGTGGTAGCGCAGCGAGGTGGAGCGCGCCGCGTCCACCGCTAGCAGGGGGCCCGTGCTGCGGGGGGCGCCGGTCGGGACCTGGTGGAGAGCTGAGCGATGGAAGGGGGGGGGCGGAGGGGAGTTTTTAAGACTCCATGCCGCCTCCTTGCCTCCTCATTTGCCTCCTCCTCCTGCACCTCGTCCCGGCCGCAGGTGACCACCCTCGCCATCGTCGCCGTGACGATGGCCCGACGTCCGCTCACGGTCACCGCTGACCAAAAGTCGCCAACGCCCGCTCGTCGTTTAATTGTCGTTGCTATGGCGACGACGACGGTGACGATGATGACGATGACGACGATGACGTTGATGATGACGCCGGTGACATTGATGACTACGATGACGTTAATGACGACGACGGTGACGTTGATGACGACGACGACGACGTTGATGATGACGACGGTGATGTTGATGACGACGACGGTGACGTTGATGACGACGACGACGACGTTGATGATGACGACGGTGACGTTGATGACGACGACGGTGACGTTGATGACGACGACGACGACGTTGATAATGACGACGGTGACGTTGATGACGACGACGGTGACGTTGATGACGACAACGGTGACGTTGATGACGACGACGACGACGTTGATGATGACGACGGTGACGTTGATGACGACGACGGTGACGTTGATGACGACGACGGTGACGTTGATGACGACGACGGTGACGTTGATGACGACGACGGTGACGATGATGACGGCAACGGTGACGATGATGACGACGACGGTGACGTTGATGATGACGATGGTGACGTTGATGACGACGACGATGACGTTGATGACGACGTTGCCGTTGATGATGACGATGACGACGTTGATGATGACGATAACGACGTTGATGACGACGACGACGTTGATGATGACGACGTTGATGATGACGACGTTGATGATGACGACAACGTTGATGATGACGATGACGACGTTGATGATGACGACGACGACGCTCGTTTACCAGGGAGAGCCTCGCCGAGTCTCAAGACTTTTTTCAGGAGGGTTCTGCCAAAGGTTTGTGGCACCACTGTGGCTGAGAGATGCTAACTACCTCGCCTGGTACGCAGGAGTTCGTGGGTTCGATCCCAACCCAGACTCTCACACACTCACACACACAATCTCTCACTCTCACACACTCACTCACACTCACTCACACTCTCACACACTCTCACACACACAATCACTCAAACTCTCACTCTCACACACACTCACACACAATCACTCACTCTCTCACACACCGACTCTCACACACTCACTCATGCACAATCACTCACACTCTAACACACAATCACTCACACTCTCACACACAATCACTCACTCTCACTCTCTCACACACCGACACTCACACACTCTCACACACAATCACTCGCTCTCTCACTCTCACACACTCACTCACACTCACTCACACTCTCACACACTCTCACACACAATCACTCAAACTCTCACTCTCACACACTCACTCACACTCACTCACACACAATCACTCACTCTCTCACACACCGACTCTCACACACTCACTCACACACAATCACTCACACTCTAACACACAATCACTCACACTCTCACACACAATCACTCACGCTCACTCTCTCACACACCGACTCTCACACACTCTCACACACTCACTCACACACAATCACTCACACTCTAACACACAATCACTCACACACAATCACTCACTCTCTCACTCACAATCACTCACTCTCTCACTCTCACACACTCACTCACACTCACTCACACAATCACTCTCTCTCACACACCGACTCTCACACTCTCACTCACTCTCTCACACACTGACTCTCACACTCACTCACTCACACTCTCACACACAATCACTCACTCTCTCACACACAATCACACACTCACTCTCACACTCTCTCACACTATCTCACTCTCACACACACTCACTCTCTCTCACACACAATCACTCACTCTCTCACTCACACACGCTCACACACACTCACTCACACTCTCACACACAATCACTCACTCTCTCACTCTCACACACACTCACACACATTCACTCTCTCACTCACACACACTCACACACATTCACTCTCTCACAACAAAGACAAAGACAAAGATCCCCCATATAGCCTTAACAGACTGTAGGGGCAAGTGCTGTTAGCGAGCACCTATGAAGGCCGGAACGGTACACGAGGGGGTGGGTGGCCAGCACCACGCCCGACCGCCTTTGTCTCCCTAGTGGCAATGTTTACACACAGCACCAGGTACTCATTTGAGGCTGAGTCGACCTAGGGGAGGCCCGGGACCGGTTCAGATAATCGTCACTGGTGTTGGTTGTGAGCGGGAATCGAACCCGGGTCACCAGGTTCATAGCGCAGCGCGCTAACCGCTACACTATCGCTCCTCACTCTCTCACTCACACACACTCACACACAATCACTCACACACTCTCACACAATCTCTCACTCTAACACTCTCTCACACTCACATACACTCACTCACTCTCTCTAACACACTCACCATCACTAGCAAACACACTCACACACACTCACTAACACACTCACTAACACACATTCTCTCACTCTCACACACACTCTCTCACTCTCACACACTCACCAACACACACACTCTCACACACACACCGACTCTCACACTCTCTACAGACAAGGGGGGATCTTCTTTGGTTCTTTCGGTAAAGTCACGTAGAATGAGAATAAAATAATAAATTGATAAAATAAAATAACACAATAATATTCTCAATTTATTATTTTATTCTCATTCTACGTGACTTTACCGAAAGAACCAAAGAAGATGAATCCTTGCAGTCACGAAAGCTTTAAAACAAGGGGGGATATTGGGTACAAGGCACCAACCCCACTGAGACAGAGGAGGGCACCAGAGTCTGGAATCGAACCCAGGCCTCGTCGCGGTTTCTCCCCCGCGAGTGAGTTCCCACTCACTGGGCACGAAGGCGACGAGGTGCTCGAACCACTGCCGCACGTTCGAGTCCCCGACGAGGTGAACCCTCTTCCCCGCCAGGCACCGGGCCGCCCTCTCCGGGCGCCTGAACCGCAGGGAGCGGCAGGACGGCTGCAGCCAATCGCCACGGAGGTAGTAGCCGTAGCCAGGTGGGGGCCCCGGGGAGCACACGGGGAGTCGGTCACGACGAGGTGGAGGAGGTGGAGGGTGGTGATGAGGTGGAGGCCCGCCAGTGCCTGTCAAGGACACACACACAAAGACGTGTAGCCTGTAACCGGCTGTCGGGGCAAGCGCCGTTAGCGAGCAGCAGCAGCAGCGCCTGTGAAGGTCACCGGCACTGTGGCACACGAGGGGGTGGGTGGCCAGCACCGCGCCCGGCCGCCTTTGTCTCCCCAGTGCTAGCGATGTTTACTGCACACGGCACCGGGTACTCATTCGTGGCCGAGTCGACCTAGTGGGAGGAGGCACCACGGTCGGTTCAGGCAATCGTCACGCCGGTGTTGGCCCAGAGCGGGAGTCGAACTCGAGTTTCCATCGCAAACGACAGCTCGACCAAGCGGTTCATCGTCGTCGTCGTCGTCATCATCGCGTGGAAACTTGCAGCAGCAATTCAAATACCACAAACGCGTGGCGCCAAGTGGTGACAGCTCAACGGAGCGGCTTCGTCGCGTGCAACTTCACAGCAGCGCGACGTTCATTCTGAAAGCGGAGGTGAAAAAACCGCGGAGCGAGAGACGCAGACCCCCCCACCCCCCGAAATATACAGCAGGCGTCACGGGGGGCCGGGGATGGTGGCCCGCACCGCGTCCCGCCCGCCCGGCCGCCTTTGTCTCCCCGGCGGCGATGCTGCTTTGCTGCTCAACACGCCGGGGCGCAGACGACCGTCGCCGCTTTGTTTCGGTGCCGTTGGCCGACGAGCGGGGAATCGAACGCGCCGACCGCTGCGCCACCGCTCCCCACGCGCGCGCGCGCACAACGGACGTCAGCACGGGGAAGACAAAGGCGGCCGGGGGCGGGGCTGGTGCTGGCCGCCCGACCGCCTCGTGCGCCGCCTCGCCGACCCCTAGGGAGGCGCTGCTCTCGCTGCTCCGCTGGCAGCACTTGCCCCCCGCAAGGCTTGTTAAAGGCTACCCGGGGGACCTTTGCCTTTGTGCTCACCTGCGTGCGGTGTGCGGGAGGGGCGAGGATGAACCGCGATCCGGTCCGACCCCAGCACAGGAATTGGAGTTCTCAAGTTCACGCCGCTAACACGCACACAAAGACAAAGATCCCCCGCGTAGCCTTAACAGACTGTTGGGGCAAGTGCTGTTAGCGAGTAGCAGCTCACACAAAGACAAAGATCCCCCGCGTAGTCTTAACAGACTGTTGGGGCAAGTGCTGTTAGCGAGTAGCAGCTCACACAAAGACAAAGATCCCCCGCGTAGCCTTAACAGACCGTTGGGGCAAGTGCTGTTAGCGAGTAGCAGCTCACACAAAGACAAAGATCCCCCGCGTAGCCTTAACAGACTGTTGGGGCAAGTGCTGTTAGCGAGTAGCAGCTCACACAAAGACAAAGATCCCCCGCGTAGCCTTAACAGACTGTTGGGGCAAGTGCTGTTAGCGAGTAGCAGCTCACACAAAGACAAAGATCCCCCGCGTAGCCTTAACAGACTGTTGGGGCAAGTGCTGTTAGCGAGTAGCAGCTCACACAAAGACAAAGATCCCCCGCGTAGCCTTAGCAGACCGTTGGGGCAAGTGCTGTTAGCGAATAGCAGCTCACACAAAGACAAAGATCCCCCGCGTAGCCTTAACAGACTGTTGGGGCAAGTGCTGTTAGCGAGTAGCAGCTCACACAAAGACAAAGATCCCCCGAGTAGCCTTAGCAGACCGTTGGGGCAAGTGCTGTTAGCGAATAGCAGCTCACACAAAGACAAAGATCCCCCGAGTAGCCTTAACAGACCGTTGGGGCAAGTGCTGTTAGCGAATAGCAGCTCACACAAAGACAAAGATCCCCCGAGTAGCCTTAACAGACTGTTGGGGCAAGTGCTGTTAGCGAACAGCAGCTCACACAAAGACAAAGATCCCCCGAGTAGCCTTAACAGACTGTTGGGGCAAGTGCTGTTAGCGAATAGCAGCTCACACAAAGACAAAGATCCCCCGAGTAGCCTTAGCAGACCGTTGGGGCAAGTGCTGTTAGCGAATAGCAGCTCACACAAAGACAAAGATCCCCCGAGTAGCCTTAGCAGACCGTTGGGGCAAGTGCTGTTAGCGAATAGCAGCTCACACAAAGACAAAGATCCCCCGTGTAGTCTTAACAGACTGTTGGGGCAAGTGCTGTTAGCGAATAGCAGCTCACACAAAGAAAAAGATCCCCCGCGTAGCCTTAACAGACCGTTGGGGCAAGTGCTGTTAGCGAGTAGCAGCTCACACAAAGACAAAGATCCCCCGCGTAGCCTTAGCAGACCGTTGGGGCAAGTGCTGTTAGCGAATAGCAGCTCACACAAAGACAAAGATCCCCCGCGTAGCCTTAACAGACTGTTGGGGCAAGTGCTGTTAGCGAGTAGCAGCTCACACAAAGACAAAGATCCCCCGAGTAGCCTTAGCAGACCGTTGGGGCAAGTGCTGTTAGCGAATAGCAGCTCACACAAAGACAAAGATCCCCCGAGTAGCCTTAACAGACCGTTGGGGCAAGTGCTGTTAGCGAATAGCAGCTCACACAAAGACAAAGATCCCCCGAGTAGCCTTAACAGACTGTTGGGGCAAGTGCTGTTAGCGAACAGCAGCTCACACAAAGACAAAGATCCCCCGAGTAGCCTTAGCAGACCGTTGGGGCAAGTGCTGTTAGCGAATAGCAGCTCACACAAAGACAAAGATCCCCCGAGTAGCCTTAACAGACTGTTGGGGCAAGTGGTGTTAGCGAGTAGCAGCTCACACAAAGACAAAGATCCCCCGAGTAGCCTTAACAGACTGTTGGGGCAAGTGCTGTTAGCGAGTAGCAGCTCACACAAAGACAAAGATCCCCCGAGTAGCCTTAACAGACCGTTGGGGCAAGTGCTGTTAGCGAATAGCAGCTCACACAAAGACAAAGATCCCCCGAGTAGCCTTAACAGACTGTTGGGGCAAGTGGTGTTAGCGAGTAGCAGCGGCGACGAAGGGCCGGCACTGTGGGGGGTGGGTGGGCAGCACCAGAGCAACATCAAGCTGAGCACGACGCAGTTCTTCGGGAACTGCTGATGGCTTTGTTGCTGCTGCTGCTGATTGGTGGGAATGCGTGTGTGTAGTGCATAGTGTACAAGCCGCGTGCAATTTGTACGTAGATACTTGTTCTTTATTCATTGCCACTTGCTTTTAGCATTTTCAACTATTTTGCGTTCCTACCGTTTAACACGTCGGCTTTCGCGAGCAAGATCATCCGTGATAGAGGTTCGTTTGGGTTAGGTCGCGTAAGGTTATAAATGTTGTGTCGTTAAACCCGCCACCACCCGACACGGCCAGCTCGCCAGGTTGTGTCACGTCAACAGATCTGGCTGTCGCCTGATGAAGCTGGTTGTGATTACTGGCGAAACGTCGTACTCAGATTGTAAATGTTGTGGCTTGGCTCTCCAACACACAAGCGGTGTGCTGTACTGGTATACTACACTATACTTTACAATATAGTACTATACACTAGTATACACTATACACTAGTATACACGACTATACACTACACTATACTATATACAACACTACTATACACTACACTACTATACACTACACTACTATACACTACAATACTATACACTACACTATACACTACACTACACAACACTACCATATACTATACACTACACTATACACTACTACATACTACACTACTATACACAATTCACTACACTATTATACACAATTCACTACACTATACACTAGTGCTGTACTAGTATACTACACTATACACTACAATACACTACACACTAGTGCTGTACTAGTATACTACACTATACACTACACTATACACTACTATACACTACACTACACACGAGTGCTGTACTAGTATACTACACTATACACTTACATACACTACACACTAGTGCTGTACTACTATACCACACTATACACTACACTACTATACACACTACACTACTATACACTACACTATACACTACACTATACACAATACACTACTATACACAATACACTACACTACTATACACTACACTATACACTACTATACACTACACTATACACTACACACTAGTGCTGTACTAGTATACTACACTATACACTACACTATACACTACACACTAGTGCTGTACTAGTATACTACACTATACAATACACTATACACTACACACTAGTGCTGTATTCGTGACGAATTGTCACGTTCTGTTTACGTGACAAACCCCTCTATTATTCCTATCGTTGTAGGCATTTCTGTTCGTTGCATGTTGTAACTTTAAACCTTAAACTATTTTTGTTTATTCTACCAGGTGCAAGGCCCCCACTGAGATACTGCAGAAGCGACCCTGGGCCACCGTGACGGACGTGGATCATCACCGTCATCGCCATCACGTGGACATTCTGTAGCAGCAGCCACACACTCTAAACGCGTGGCGGCGTTCATTCTAAACGTGGCGGGGAAAACCGGAGGACTCGGAGACAAATCCGCACGGCCACGGGGAGAGAGACACCTCAAACTCCAAATACACAGCAGTAGCAGCAGGCGTCAGGGTTGGTATCGAACCCACGACCTCCTGTAGACCAGGCGAGGGAGTTGACATCTCCTAGCCACCGTGATGATAATGCGAGAGAGAGACACCTCAAACTCCAAATACACAGCAGTAGCAGCAGGCGTCAGGGTTGGTATCGAACCCACGACCTCCTGTAGCCAGGCGAGGTAGTTAACATCTCCTAGCCACCCCAAACCCCTACTGGATGTGTGAACAACAACTTCATAGCTCATCAGGGTCCTCCTCTTTCCTCTCCTCCTCCTCTTCCCCCCTCTCCCACCCCCTTCATCTCCATTCCAAATAAAGATTCCGATTGTGATCAAGCTCCTGGTTTTGCGTGACCTTGTGACACCGCGCGTGTGTGCGTGCACGCGCGTGTGCGCACAGATGTATAAACAACGACAGAAGATTGCCACGCGATGGCTGATGGCGCTAATCTCGTCGGGGTTACTTACGGATTTGCCTACGGAGGTTGACATCAGCAGCGGCAGCGATGGGGGGGCCAGGGACGAGTCTCGGTCCGACGCACGGACGCACGGCACGCAAAGATCCCACTCACGCCCCCCCCCCCCCCCCCGTGTAGCCTCAACAGACTGTTGGGGGCAAGCGCTGTGAGCGAGCACCTGCGAAGGCCGACAATGTGGCAACAGGAGGGGCTGGGTGGCCAGCGCCACGCCCGGCCGCCTTTGTCTCCCCGGTGGCGATGTTGTACACACACCATGCCAGGTACTCATTTGAGGCTGTGTCGACCGCTCACTCACACAAGACACTTTCATCACCCTATCACCAACTCATCCACACACACACACACACCTACCCACCACCACCCACTCACTCACCCACCCACCACCCACTCACACAAAGACAAAGATCCCCCGTATAGCTTTAACAGCTTCTTGCGGCAAGTGCTGCTAGCGAGCAGCACCTATGAAGACCAGCACGGCACACGAGGGGACGGGTAGGCTGTAACTATGTAACTATTTGTTATTTCACCAGGCAAGGCCCCACCGCTGAGCCACTGTATAGCTCTTCGTCAGAAGCGCGACTCTGGCTATCACAAGAAATAATGGTTGAACACGTAGCAGGCTTTCGCGATCAATATCATTCGTAATTTTAAAAAAAACTTCATCACACGCAAATAATAGCTCGACGAAGAGGACTCATCATCATCATCAGGGGGACAATTATAGTGGCAGCCCCAAGTGTTCCTAAACGCGTGGCGTCGATTCGAAATGTCGGAGGACCCGGAGAAAAATCCACGCGACCACGGGGAGAGACACGCAGACTCCAAACGTACAGGGTCGGGATCAAACCCACGACCTCCTGTATACCGGGCGAGGTAGTTAACATCTTCTAGTCAGTGCAGCATCAAGATAGACATCGCTGGCTGGCATCAAACGTGAACAAACGATACCCGGCTGAGTAAATTCTCTGCGCTTGGCAAACTCCGTCTGAGATGCAAATAGCGCGACATGGAGTGTTCTGAGATCTCAATCACACTCTCTCTCTCTCACCTCAGTCACCCCAGAGTCTGCTGCCGTTTTAAAACAAAATAAACT